TGTATTTCTTTCATCCTCTGCTGCCCTTTACCTCCATCTAAAGAAAACATCATCTTAGTTCTTGTCGGTGCGATCTGCACGGTTCTTAATCTGCCATACTACCTACGACTACTACATCCGGTATACTGCTGGTCACTATCGTGTAGTACTCACTTTCTTTCTTCCTCTGTCTTTTCTGCAACCAACAATACCCTCCTAGTCGGGAACAAGCAGCACCACCGGGTGTATGATATCTGGGTTTCACTTCTTCCCTTGAAGCAACCGGGTTTCTCCCACCTGGTCCTCCTTTTTTCCCTTTATTTTTATCTCTTGTGGTTCCGTGATTTTCCTTTCACCGTGGCTACCCTCGGGATCAGTGTGTTGGCGAGTCTTCCATACTCCCACCCGGTTCATTCCTCGCAACAATATCATTCGCTGTCAGGCTACCATCTTGCCCAACCCGCCGGCTCCCTCTCTCAGGCAGCTCTTCACGAGTCTCCAGCTCATCTGGAGAGAGAGGGGGCCCAGCAATGCCCTAGGTCGCTCCATCGATCTATCGAAAGAGAATCGGAGCATATGTCGTCCACCTTGACTGGCCCTTCCCCAGGCGATGCACATCCGGCCGAGGATCACAGTACGTTTGGTAGAAAGCGGCCTCGCTCAGACGATGACTCTGCATCTTCCGAAGGACCGGACCCTGTGCGTCCCCGGCCTCTTTCCTGGCAACCATCAGCTCCTGTGGAACCTTCCGTGAAATCTACTCAGCTTCGTTCCATCGGCGTTGAGTCGATCTTGAACCCACCGTCAAAAGCAGCAGTTGTTACAGCAGAACCCGTTCGCGAACCATTAGGGTCCCAGGTGCCGACTACTTCATCGTCACCGTCCCATACCCGACTGCCCTCCTCCCCATCAGTTCATCTTCCCTCTCCCTCCGTTCACCCAGCAAAACGCCTCTCTGCATCTCCCGCTATGAAGCATCATCAGGCCATCGCCCCAGCTTCTCCTTCTGCGCGGTTTGTTTCAACGGGAGGCGGTTACGCCCAGAGACTGGGTGTTTCACAGTCTCCTCTGGCTCACCCATCTCGTCTAGCCTCTTATTCAGCAGCTCCTGGCTCTCCCCTATCCGTTGATCCATATCCTGGACAGTCGGTTTCGACATCTACGCATCCTGCACCGGCTCCAATCTCCATGCATTCGACTCCAACTTTCCACAGCCGTCGAACAAGCGCCAACCCTACGCCTGCTCCAAGCTCCCAGGAAACAAGCCCTACAACCCCTGTTTCTGCCTACAGTCAGCTCGGGCGGTCATCTCCAGCAGTGTCTGCTGCGCCAATGCAGCAAACTACACCCTCGTTCCTCAATGCATCCGCGTACGGATCCAGTGAGCCCGCCGCTCGCTTGCCTTCAGTCATGGCAGGACCAAGGTCCACAGGGGAAGAAGCGGCTGCTGCGGGAGCCCAGCCAGAGAATCCCCCTTACCCTGGCATGATTCCTTGCATACTAGATTTGAAATCAGGGTCCTCTAGCCAGGCCGAGAAACGGAAGGCGAACAGTGATGCATCGAGGCGGTTCCGGAATCGGAAGAGAAACGAGATGCAGCTGGAGCAGAAGATTGCTGGGCAGCTGGAGGAGATCCAGAAGAAGACTGAAGAGTTGAAGAGGCGGGACGATCAAATCCGATCTCTGATGCAGGAACGGGATTTCTATCGCTCGGAGAGGGATTTCTTCCGTGAACACGTCTCCCGCTTGGTGCCTACAGGTCAGCTTCCGGCCAGGCCAGCATCCCCGCTTACCCTACGACCGCCTTTCGAGTCCACCGCCTCTGAGCGCGAGGCCACATGGCATGCCTCGGAGGCCAGAAAGATGGTCGAGAACACTTCTGGAAGTGGGAAGCTGGCCCCAGCGCCATCTCACCTGATGGCCGGTTCGTCAACTAGGCCGCCCGTGACGTGGTCGGCCACTCCTACTTCGTATCCGGCAGCCCACGTTGAACGAGGTATGCTGCCCGACGACCAGCAAGCAAGATCATTGCCCCAGTTTCCGGGACAATGGGCACGAAGCTCTTAACTGAGATGAATAGCAAACGTGAACATCGGACGCCTAATCTGGCTTTGACATCTCGAGTATCAGATTACTCTACGATACTTCTGGCGGCTCGCAGGGAGGGCTACTAATGCCAGCGGGACACGCATTCTCGAGATATCTTCATTTCTCACTTTCCCCTTTTTTTGTCATGTAATCGACCTCCGCGTGCCCTCGCGCATCGGAGACTGAGAGCCGTAAAAGTTCCTAAAAGGCTTGTTTTCTTTCCATATCCTCCGGAGGCTAAGTCATCTTAAGCATTGGGAAAAGCTCTCTGCGCACGATTCGTGTGATCAGCATATGAAATAGGTGTATGGACGGGTGGTATTTTGAAAGGTGGCTTTGTCGTTGCCTCTTGTTTGTCTTTCCATGATCGGGTATTATCATGCAACTTGTCTATCTTATACATTTATCGTACACATTTACTCAGTTATGTCTCTCCTGATTTCTTTCCATTGTTGATTAAGTATTGGGTGGCGTTGGGTTTCTCTGCTTCGCTTTGCCATGAGCTAAACGGCCTGCACGGTGGACTTTTGAAGATACTCCTTGCTGCATGCAGCACTGTCAGCAAATAAATTGCTTTGAATGATTTTCTGCTTCTTCTTCTCATATCAGGCTATAGACGCTGCCATTATCTGACTTTAATTGAGCGAGGGCGATGTTTATCATTTGGCGTTCTGTTTTTATGATTTCTCCACGTCCTTTCGGGCTTTCAGCACAGCATGATAGATTGTATAGCATAAACAGGAACAAATCGATGACACATGCATCCGAGAATCTTCAGCCGTGGAAGCATTTACGTAGATCTTTGCTAAGAGAAATGGTGGCGGCCTAGGGCATCCAGGCACCCTTTCCCAACGGGGGAACTTCCGTCGTCCACGTGCCCTGGTTCAGCCAATCAAGGCGTCCCACGGCAATGCTGGATCAACAATCAACTCGAATGCAATAAATGAAGATGAAACTAACACCATCTGTTGCCTTTCTTTCGAGAAAGCTCCTCCACTTCTCACACTAGATTTATCCGTCCCTTTTCGACTTCCCGTCCCGTTCGGCCTCGTCCACTGAAGATCTATCCCACCATTGCACGTGGGCCACCTTGGTGAGCTTCTAACCTGAACTGGTAGAGTATCACACAACATGCCAAAGTGGGATGAAGGGGTTATATGAGGACCGTCCGGTCCGGCGCGATGGCCGTAGCTGCCAATCGCTGCTGTGCAAGAAGTTTCTTCTCATAGGCATCATGGGCGTCTCTGCTGTTCTACTTCCTTTGTACCTCCTAGCTGGGTATGCTAAGCACCGCTATCTAAGTCTGATAAGGACCCTCTCTGCCGAGGGCCCCTGAAGCTCGGACTGTGTGGGACTACTGATCGCTGACAACCTGTGCAGAGTCACCTCCGGACTGGCAGTCCCCGCCTCGAGAAATCAATCCACTTGCGATACGGTCGATCAGGGGTATCAATGCTTTTCCGAGACTTCGCATCTTTGGGGTCAATACGCGCCGTTCTTTTCTCTGGCAAACGTATCGGCCATCTCCCCTGATGTGCCCGCCGGATGCCGAGTCACTTTCGCTCAGGTCCTCTCCCGTCATGGAGCGCGGTATCCGACCGACTCCAAGGGCAAGAAATACTCCGCTCTCATTGAGGAGATCCAACAGAACGCGACCACCTTTGATGGAAAATATGCCTTCCTGAAGACATACAACTACAGCTTGGGTGCAGATGACCTGACTCCTTTCGGAGAGCAGGAGCTAGTCAACTCCGGCATCAAGTTCTATCAGCGATACGAATCGCTCACAAGGAACATCATCCCGTTCATCCGATCCTCTGGCTCCAGCCGCGTGATCGCCTCCGGCAAGAAATTCATCGAGGGCTTCCAAAGCACCAAGCTGAAGGATCCTCGTGCCCAGCCGAGCCAATCGTCGCCCAAGATCGACGTGGTCATTTCCGAGGCCAGCTCATCCAACAACACTCTCGACCCAGGCACCTGCACTGTCTTTGAAGACAGCGAATTGGCCGATACCGTCGAAGCCAATTTCACCGCCACGTTCGTCCCCTCCATTCGTCAACGTCTGGAGAACGACCTGTCCGGTGTGACTCTCACAGACACAGAAGTGACCTACCTCATGGACATGTGCTCCTTCGACACCATCTCCTCCAGCACCGTCGACACCAAGCTGTCCCCCTTCTGTGACCTGTTCACCCACGGAGAATGGATCAACTACGACTACCTCCAGTCCCTGAAAAAGTACTACGGCCATGGCGCAGGTAACCCGCTCGGCCCGACCCAGGGCGTCGGCTACGCTAACGAGCTCATCGCCCGTCTCACCCACTCGCCTGTTCACGATGACACCAGCTCCAACCACACTTTGGACTCAAATCCGGCTACCTTTCCGCTCAACTCTACTCTCTACGCGGACTTTTCGCATGATAACGGCATCACCTCTATTCTCTTTGCCTTGGGTCTATACAACGGCACTAAGCCGCTGTCTACCACGACCGTGGAGAATATCACCCAGACAGATGGATACTCGTCTGCTTGGACGGTTCCATTTGCTTCGCGTCTGTACGTCGAGATGATGCAGTGCCAGGCCGAGCAGGAGCCGCTGGTCCGTGTCTTGGTTAATGATCGCGTTGTCCCGCTGCATGGGTGTCCAGTTGATGCTTTGGGGAGATGTACCCGGGATAGCTTTGTGAGGGGGTTGAGCTTTGCTAGATCTGGGGGTGATTGGGCGGAGTGTTTTGCTTAGCTGAACTACCTTGATGGATGGTATGTTTCAATCAGAGTACATATCATTACTTCATGTATGTAGTTACGAAGATGTACATATCGAAAAATATCGATGATGACTACCTCGGTAGATATCTGAATATCCCTCTATGCCTCGTCCCACAACCCGTCATCACTCTTAAACTACACACTCAACGCACAGCGTACAAACTCGAACAAATAATATTATACACTCCTCCCCGCAGTTCATCATACCTCATAAAATACAATATCCATACCATACACTCAACCCAACTCCATCCCATCCCACTAATCAAATCCTACTTACTTCTCCCCCTCCCCTTCCCCCTTCCCAGAACTCAACCCCGAAGGACTAGCAGTAGAAGAAGTAGACGGCCTCTCCACCAACCTCTTCGGCCTCTTATCCCCATAGGCTACACACACACACACACACATCAAATAGTCAGCATACACAGAAAACAATTGAAAGTAATTAAGAATAGAAAAGAAGAAGAAGAAGAAGAAGGGATACATACTCCTCTCATACAAACTCCAAGACGTATACATCAAAATGGGCAATCCCACCATTACTGATATCCATCTGTGAACATCGCCATCGCACGTTAGTAAATTAAACTTCCTAAGAGAGTATGATTTCCTCTATAGCACTCGTAATGTAATCAATGTCAAGGGGGGAATGGTGATGGCATACCGTCTCGCAGCAAGTTTATATTCTTTCGTTTGGCGGATATCTTTCACTGCTCCTGCTGGACGTTGTCCACGGGGTGGCATTGGTTGGCGGTGATGAGGGTCCATGATCACTCTTGGTTTGGGAGGGGGTGGTTGTTGTTGTTGGGTGGGCATTTCTTTTTTGTCCTTCACTTGGGAATTATTATTTGGAATGTAATTAGGTTTTGTTGGGTGAGTGAGTGGGTGTTGTTGAATGAGTGGTTATTGGGAATGAAGTAGATTTGGATTTGAATGATCGATGGGATGGGATGGGATGAATGGATGGATGGCGGCGGAAAAGTCAGGTGGTTTGAGGTTCGGATTATTGACTTTATTATGCCTGAGGCATCACTCTCCATCTATGTTGTTCTATACCGATCTACCAGAGCTAAGTTGACTGATTCTAATAACAATGCACAATAAGTATGTACTTACTTCATTTGTAGTGTTTGAATTAACCCGCTGTGCTATTTGCCGTAGCTTTCCACCCAATTTCGAAGTTCGAAGAATGGAACTTCTTCCTACAGTACAGAATAGAAGTAAAAGGAGAAGAGAACAACAAGATAATACAACCAGTCCAGGTCCATTCTAGATCTCGAATGACCACCAAATAAAAAAGGCAACAAGCAAGCAAGCAACGCATGATTCTAAACGAACGCCAATAACTTCATCGCCTGCCTTTGAAACTGAACGCTATGCACGAATGGCTCGAAATGATTCCCTGAACTCCATAGTATTGAGAGTGAGAGGGAAAGAAAAAAAGAATAAAACAAAAACAAAGAGAGTGACCATGGGAAAGAAGCATGATCAGGCGGGAATGGATTTGCGGTTGAGATAGATATGAGTTGCCTCGCAGATCCGGTGACAAGGTAAGAGAATTGAGAGATGTAAACAGCCACAGTAACTTCATCAAGCTTCGAACCACTTTCAACGGTCGGGTCTGCGGGTTGATATCCAAGTTGCGATGCCACGCAGACCCAAACAGAGTGAGAGATATGAGATATCTGAACCACTGTGACTTCATCAAGCATCAAAACACACTCCGTGGTCAATCGGTTTGGGTGTGCGGGTTGATATGCGAGGTTCGATGCCACGCAGACCCGAACCGACTCAGAGATATGAAAAGTTGGACAGCCACTCTATCTTCATCAAGCCTTGAGTCACTCAACGGTCAGTCTGTTCGGATCTGTGGGTTGGTATGCAAGTTGAGATGCCACGCAGACCGCGGATGCGATATACATAGACGAATGTGGACTGGCCATTGAAAGTCGGAATAGACAACCACTTTAACTTCATCAAAAGCCTTTAATCACCCAATGACCAGTCTGTTCGCGGTCTGCGGGTTGATATGCGAGTTGAGATGCCACACAGACTGCGAACATACGATGATGTATTATAAGTTAGACGAGTGTAGACTGACCATTGAGAACCGAGACAAACAATCACTTCAACTTCATCAAAGCCTTAAAATCATTCAAAGGCCAGTCTATTCGCGGTCTGCGGGCTGATACCCAAGTTGCGATGCCACGCAGACCGCAAACATTGATCGAGAGACGAGAAAAACAACCACTTTAACTTCATCAAAAGCCTTTCAACCAGTCAATGGCCAGTCTGTTCGCGGTCTGCGGGCTGATATTCAAGTTGAGGTGCCTCGCAGACCGCGAACATGCGAAGTATATTTTTAGTTAGACGAGTGACTGGCCATCGAGAAACGAGAGAAACGACCACACTTCATGAAAGCCTTAAATTATTCACTGACCAGTCTGTTCGCGGTCTGCGGGTTGGTATGCGAGTTGAGGTGCCACGCAGACCGCGAACATGCGATGTTCTTCAGTTGGACGAGTGAAGCCTGGCGATTGAGAATTATCTCAGTTGGGTTGGCCATTCGGCTGGCCGTTGGGTTTAGTATTAGGATCGTCAGGTTTGTCCGATGAAACGTTCCGTTTGCGTGCGTTGGCGCGACGAGCCCTCTCCTCGGCGTGATTCTGAAATTCTGCAATCAGGGCAGCCGCAGCACGGCGACGGGGACGTCCTCCAGGAGCTGTGTTGAAGTTTCGGGGTGGCGGTCCAGGAGGGGGAGCTGCATTAAAAGCCTCATAAATGTCTTTGGGTGGTTCGGGGGGACCCATCGCAAGATCTTCTGGAGTCGTGCGTCTGATCATCTCTTGAGTGTAATTGCGACGCAGACCGAGCTTCAGGATTTTGGAAGGGCTGGACCGCTCCTGCTGACTCTTCCCCTCGGCGGGCTTCGTTTCGGCAGGCTTCATCTCGGTGGGCTGATCTTCCATCTCAGAATAGGATCGCTTTCTGGTCGCTGCGCTCGCTCCTCCCTTCAAGGTCAGCTTGATGCGCAGCGTCTTGGGCGGCTCAGCGGGTGGAGTTGGTTCCGGCTCTGGCTCCCTCCGGCGTCGCTTGGGCACATGAGTGGTTTCTGAGGCTTCGCCGCCCCGGCGCCGTTTGCGAGTCGGCTCCTTGGTCTCTTTGGCCTCTTTCACTTCGCCCGGACCATCTTTCGGGGCGGTTTCATCATGCTGGGCGATCAAGGTTTGGATGTAGGCAGCCGGCATCATTCGATCGACGGCGATTCCTCTCTTGCGGGCCTCCTCCCGAGCCTTGATGGTCGCCTTGACCTCGTCTACGTTTTCGAAGAAGAAAGGCATCTTGTTATCCTGAGGCAAGTTGCGCTCTCCCATGCGTGGGGGATAACCGAAGATGCGGTCCTTCTCGAACTGTTCATGAGACTTCAGGCGAATTGGAGGCTGGGGGAGCAATTTGTCTCCGTAGGTGTTGTTAGGGCGGAACCAAGAATAGCCTTCGCCTACAACGACAAGCTCTTCGCCAAATTTATTTTTTTGGCCTGTAAAAACGAACCCATCCTCGTCAGTCCACCGGTGCGTCTCGGACGTAGAGATTGGCTTACTTGATCCCTCAACGCCGATCTCTGCCTGGGGCTGCGCTTCGGATGCGGCCACGGTCACGGGCTCCGCCTCGGACTGCACCGCTGGAGTTTCGGTCTTCTTCTCCTGCTTCTCCACGTACTCCTTGCGTAGCTCCTCTACCCAGCCCTCGGCTTCCAATGACGGCTCAAATTCTGGAGCAACAGCTGCCGCGGCCAGGTCAAGAAGCCGGTTTGCTAAAACTGCCCATTTTCCATCGACGCCTGCCTTCGACGCCTGGGCAATACCAGCTGTTTTCGCATTGGCCTGTTTGTTGGCACGCGTCTTCTTGACTGCTGCCTTGCCCTTTACTTCCTTGAGAGCAGACTCTGGCTTAGATGATGGTGCACGGTTTCTGCGGAAGCGCCTTTCAGATTCCAAAGATTCCATAGCCTTGATGGTAGGCTTTCGGGTCCTTCCAGATGTGCGCGCAGCTGACGTAGTGGTTGAGTAGCTGGCAGTTGGGGATCCTGGGCCCTCATTGGAGCCATCAAGACCGAATTTGTTTCCATACATATCAGCACGGTATTCAAAAGGAAAACTTTCGCCGTACGGAGTACTGCGTTCGATTCCGGGGGTATCCAGGTCGTATCCAGACATGGAGTCGAATTCAGCCTTGCTGTCAAGAGCAGGGGTACTTTCAATGCTGTCAGCAACCTCGCGGCCAAAGGGTGTCTTTGGGACAAAAGGCGTTTCAAGAGAAGCGTCATCCACGGCCTGGCTTGCGGCGTTGATTGCAGACTTTCGAGTAGATCGCTGGGGTCGCGAACTGGTTCGAGTAGCAACCTGTGAATTGACAGGCTTGTGACTGCTTGAATTCACTGCAGAGACGGGAGTAGACTGCGCTGATTTGGAATTCTGAGTCGCAGCCATTGCTCTGGACTTGCGTTCAGCACGACGAGATCTGGCAGTCGTAGTACGAGGAGTAGAGCGAGGCTGCGTAGCAGGTGTTGCAAGCTTGATGCTAGCCTCCTGGGCTTCAGCAGCTTCAGCAGTGGTGGCAGACGCAGCAGAATTAGCGGGAGCTTTATCGGCTTTGCCGCTCTGAGCGTTGGGGGTAGAAGTGAGAGAAGAGGTAGAGTCCACGGAAGAAGTCTTCTCGCTGTTCTCAAAGCCGTTCAGCTTTGCTGGCATAGACTTACGCGTCTTGCGGCTGTTGGAAGCGGAAGAGTTCATGGCGGGAGAGGAGACGTGAGAAGTAGACATGGTGGGGTTTGGTGACGGGTTTTGAGTAGCAAGAGACTTGCGTCGATCTTTGAGTGTTCTTGACAGAAAGTTATGCAACGTCGACTGTGACCGTTGCTTGGGATTGGAAGCAGGAGTTGCAGGTTGCACGGTCTCACCGTTGGCTAAGGCCGACTTCCTGCCGCGTCCTCTTTTCTTAGAGACGCTGTTAGATATCTGCGAGGGACCACCAGAACCTTGTTGATTTGGGGTTTGGGCAGATTCTTGATCCAAACTTGTCTTCTCGTCTACAGTGGCAGAACGCTGCGTCTTGCGACGTTTGGCAGATGGGAGCTGTTCTTCAAATGACGTGGTGACAGGTGTAGGGGGCAATGAGATAGAAGAGTGAGATAAGTTCGAAGGAAGAGCTTCTGGTTCACGTGTTGTTTTACGTGACGCACGAGACGAACTTCGACGTGTTTCTCTCTGGATATCTGGTTAGAAATCGAAGAAAGAGACGCGAGGCAGAAAGTTGCAGAAGACTTACGGGAGTCAAGTCGAGGGAGAGAGCAGCGGGGGACCCAAGTTCCCTCGCAACAGAAGCCCTACCAACCACTTCAGTGTTATTAGCTTCCATCGCAGTGAATAGCCTGATCCAGGTGAATCCCCAAGTCCCAAAACGGGATTCAGTCTTTGTTCGGCTTACTTGTTCACTGTTTCTCAATCACTTCAATCCCTTCAGCAACCCCGAAATACGGCTTGTCCCGGCCGAGTCCTGTATTATACAACCACTGATACTTCGGAGGTAACGGACAGAATGGCAGGCGGACTACAGTGTCTATTCCAGTCGAAATGAGGGTGTTCGATCGGAAGGGTTATGCGACGGGGATTTGGGGCTTGTCGGGCCTGTGAGACGAGGCGAGAGTCAGTGAATGGAATGAGGGCCGATGGACGATTCGGGAAACGGAGGCAAGCAGGAGCGGCACCTCCTGGAAACCCAGAACACCTGGCATGAACCACCAACGGGGCACGAAGCAGTCCAACTATCTTCTCCACGTACCAATATCCAGCTATACTCGTTGTACTTGTAACCACAACCGCGCAGATCGAACTTGTCGTGATCGGAGACCAGGGTGGCCCGTCGGTGAAGCGGAGGCGAGGAGTCGGAACGTCA